ACCCAAATATTAATGTAAAATATTCGATACATGTTCATATGATATATATATCATATGATATATCATCTCTGACTGGAACCAGGGGGAGATTGAAACTGATATTTTTTATAATTACCTAATATTTTCTTTCAAATGCCCATTAGCCGACCTGTACTTTATGACTACTTATGCAATATTGAAACTCAACATATTCAATCTTTAAAAATTTATACACACTGTATTTATATACCCTGGAATTATTTGCGAAATCTGACAGACTTACCAACACCGCGTTATCAAATCTCAGAATGGTTACAGGTTCCCATGCAGAAAGGTATGCAGACCTGAGGTCAATTATTGCTTAGTCTGCTGAAGTGATAAACAATAATCTAGTCAAGATATAGAGAGGGGTTTTGAAGAAATCTCGAGTTAAAAAAGAGTATAAGCACTAGCTCAAAACAGCTTCAACATAATATACCTAAATACTGCAAGTTTGTACTTTTTCTACCATATGTACACTGTCATACGATGAAAGTACATAGACCTCTATATCTTTCTTAATAGTCTCTTACATATAAATTGTAAACTAAAGATTAAACGTGACTAGACTACTATTTCATATTTCATTTTTCATCCTTGGAAAAATGCTTGAAAAATGCCTACATATCCTTGGATATGTATCGCTTAAATAAAGTCTGGAGATCATCTCAGTTATCGCGCCGTACTAAAATTCGAATATGTAACACCATTATAAAATCTTGCCTCCTATATGGACGTCAATCTTGGAACGCTGCGGCAGACGGCATCAATGCACTACAAGTTCTCGTAAATCAATCATTATGTAAAATTGTTAAAGTATTGTGGCCAAACACAATTCCAAATGAACGTTTATAGTCTTTAACTCAACAAACAAGAACCAAAATCAAAAAGCGCAAATGGGACTGGGTCAGTCACACTTTGCATAGACCAATTGGTGACACCACAAGAATGGCGATTGAGTGGACCCCAATGAGTAGCAGAAGAAGGGGCAGACCTACACACACTTGAAAAAGGCAAATTGATATGGAAATAACACGTATGCGGAAAAACTGGCAAGAGTTAAAGGTACTAGCCAACAATCGTACTGAGTGTAACACCTTTGTTGCGGCCCTATGCTTCTCCTAGGAGCTATCAAAGCATTTATACTTCGATAGCTTGTTGTCAGATTCTAGCACAAAGTTTTTATTTTATAAATTTCCATTTTGGACTACTTTCTTTTGTGGACTGAACCTAAAAAATTAATTCTTTGCCTATAGGTGTACTAGTACTCTCTTAGCTGTCACTGCAAATGTCAATATACAGACCGCATTTTTTCTTCCCGATAATTCAGCTGATTACCTTCAGTATGTCAAAGATTTCTACTGAGAAGACTTTCGTTATGTTTGCAATAGAAAGTAAATACTCGGTTGCATTGTTTAAGTGCAACCCAGATCCAGTACTACGATCTGCTCAGGTGTGAATTTAACTGTTTCAACTTAACCATTGATACCGTTCTGGAAATCAGAAATCATGCCTTTGTTCAAAACATATTGAGGGCACTTGATACTGCTCCATCTGATTATCACGTCTTCTTTGCACTAAGTAATACTCTAAACGGGCAATTGTGCAACATTTTTGAAGAAATCGGAAAAAGACTACTAGACAAGATATTCTTTAAAAATTAAAATTTTTCTCTCACAAAATTAGTATGTTGTCTAAAACGTGACAAAATGTTGTAATTTGAGCTATCCCTGCAAAGAATCTCATTATCTAACGAAACAATTTATGATTGCTGATCAAGCCGAACGATATATCATGCTTCACAATCCCAGAACTGATTCGGTTCATAAAAAGCATTTGAAGGTCCTGTACTTGTTTGTTGTTAATAACAAAATACGAACAGATATAAGAGGAAGATTTGTCACTCTGAAAGTATCATCATCGTGTATCCCGTATTTGAAAGAAGGTAGTTAACAGTCTAGTTAGTTGTTAATACGATAAGATATGTCAATAAGCATTTTTAAACTTCCAATCACTTAGTTTAGTTGTGCGATAAATTTATGCATATATAAATTAAACGAAAATTCAAAGCGCCAGCTAAAAGCACCAAAAACTAATAAAACGTGCTACAAAAGCAAACATAAAAACAATTTAACAAAAACAACCTCACAAACTATTAAAATTGTAAGCTAACTACAGAAATGTTAAAGAAATGAATAATACTACTTCTAACACCACCAAAACTGTCTGATCAACTAATAAAATTTTCTGTTCTGAAAATCAACCTTTCCGTCTGCACGCTATTTTTTATTTTTTGCACCAACAATAAATACAATTATGTCTATTTTAATATCCTAACCAGGAAAAGAATAAAAGGAGTACAACACCAGCATCTATTACCGACAGACGGATGTACACCTTCATTTACCTGTTGTTAATTTGTCCAGGTAAATCATATACGTATTTTGTAGAATATAAAACATAAATTTTATATCTTTAATGAATCCTTGGTGGAATCAAGAAATTTATTATATCTCTGAATAGTTTCGTCCATCTACAATAATCCAATAATTTGTTCAGTTTTTATAAAAGTAATATTAGACATTGCCTAACTCCAAAAATAAGGTCAAAGGAAATGGTGATATAAGATGATTAATTTTTAGGTATTTTATTTCCAAAATTAGAAACTGGAAAGAAAATACTTAAAAATATGCAAAATTACGGAAAATTCCAAAATTTCCAGGATACTGAACAATGATTTTAATTAATAAATCATTTCAATTTTACATTAATTATTTATTTTTATGCAAAATGTCATATGCAAATTTTATTATTTGCGAAAACATAACATTTGACAGATTGCAACACTGATGCCAATTCTCGCTTAGCGTCTATAGGCCAGCAACTTGCTGTTCTTTGCCATACTTGCGAGCTGCCGAAAGCACCTATTATTTTTTATACATAAATAATTATTTACTGAATTTGACTCATGTCATAAAAGAATTAATAGTAGCCATTGCTGTATTAACAACAACAGTTGCAAAAAAATAAATGAATAAATATATAAATAAATCAATGTGAAATAAATACTCGCAACTTACGAAAGTAAGCATGAGAAGCAACAATAACGCTCTTAAAATCTTCAGAGATAGGTTTTATTAGCAAAAAATTTTAAATCTTAAGTTTAGGTGCAACCAAATTCAAAAATCAGTCTATTGTGAATGTTCACTGGAAATATAATGCAAAATTTCACTCCTCTGTTAAAATCATATGAGCATTTTATTTACTAATAAATTTAAATATGTAAATAAATAAATTAATTTAAATATGCAAGTTAAAAATGCTTACCATTGCCCTTCTAATATTCATTTTACTTTCTTTGATTTAAATGAATAAATTTTTAATGTTTACAATTTTTTTATTTCATATTGTACATAACACAAAAAATATTTAAAATATATGTATTTTAAAAGTGATGTAAATTAGTTTCAACTAGAGTTAATGCAGTTTTTTTATAACTCTAAAAGAAAAATTATAGCTTCTGAATGAAACTGTCATAATGTCATTTAAGATTTTCACTTTTATCAATACGCAGTGTGAACCAACCCTAAAATCGCATTACCTGAGTCAAGATAGCACCTGAGTTAAGATAGCAACGACGCTGGGAGGACTACACCGGAAATGGAACACGAAGTTTTTCTAAGTTTATTAAAACTTAATTAATTTGTCAAAATTAGCTAAATTTAATTAAAAAAACTTATAAGGATCAAAATGCACACGAAAACCTTTAAAGACAATAGAACAAACTTTCATTCAAATATGAAAAACATTATTTCTGTTAAAACACTTATTTGAAAGAAAGTAAAGATGAGAAATGTTCAGAAATATATTATAAAATAATCATTTAATAAATTCAATTAAATATTTTATTCATATTATATGTATTTCATCAAAAATATTGAAATTTTTTCAGCTTAGAATTTTATATAACTTAATATCTGATGGTAAATACTTGGCAATATTCGAAACAGCGTTGTATGGGCAACCAAATTTAAAAAAATTAACTAAATTTTTGTGTTTTCAACAAATTAAATTAATTTTTTTCAAAAATAAAGTTGCTTCTGCTACACAATTCGTTAATTCCTAACAAATGCATAAACACCATAAAGCAAATACAAACACCACAATTTATTTGGTTTTGAAATATAGATGGCAGTCTACCTCCTGCCTTGTTTTTACTCCGTATATGGCAATGCGCAGGTTTTCATTTTTATTTCAAATAATTGAATTTGGACAATTTTTAAAAAATAATGTGCAATAACTATGTAGACGATATTTTGATTGATTTTAATCATTCTGGAAAGGTGATATATTTATCTTTAAAGGAAAAATAAATTCATAGGAGACGAGAAATTTTGCACCAGATGATATATGGTTTAGAGTAAAGTAAGGTAAAAAAAATAGTTATTTTGTATAAGTTTTTTATGATAAATGTAAAATATTCCGTTGACGTTTTAAAATTATATTTTCTGATGTGTTTCTCAACATTTTGTGATTTTACCTTTTTTTAAATAGGTGATTTGGAGGTAATTAAGGTTTAAATTTTTAACAAGATTTTGTGCAAATTCCACTTGGATGATTTTTCTGATTTTTACATCAATTGAAAACTTGTTTTATTGCTTTTCAAACTCATGTGCGTGCAAGTCCTGCATGCTCCTAATTGTTTTTTAATAATTTTTTAAATAAAAATAGTCAGTTTTTTGAAAAAGTTTCCTTTTAGTTTTCAAATATCTCAGCTAGTACGCAACATACGATTATGAGATATATTCCAAATGAAAGATTATTGATTCTTCTATATATTTTTCTATTTAAATAACATATTTTATTTGATGAAAAAGCTTAAATTTAGCTAATTTTGACAAATTAATTAAGTTTTAATAAACTTAAAAAAATTTTGTGTTCCATTTCCGGTGTGGTCCTCTCAGCGTCGTTGCTATCTTGACTCAGGTGAAAATATTTGTTGTTTTGGTACTGTGTTTTGACCAAAGAAACAATTCCGCAAATATGCCATAAATATTTTAATGGAAAATTGTGTGCATTAAAAACCTAAAAATTACAATTTAAAAGGCAAAACAATTTTGCAGAATCGCGTATAACAGAAAAAGATAAACTACAAATACTGCGAAGAATAACAACAAAAATACAGGCAAAAAAAAAAACAACAAAGAAAGTTATTTTCGTGCATACAAGTTTTAACAGGTAAGTTTCGAAAGAAAGTGAAAACTTTGGCTGTTTGTTTCTTCATAATTACCATAACACTTTTGGGCAAAAGAAAGAAAAAATTTTTGAGAAATTAAAGTAAAAGCGATATTATGACAACAAACACAAGTAGCACAAGTTTGCAAGAAATGGATACTAACCCAATTGCAGAGGAATTGGAACAGGATTTCCTAGAATCCAAATGGTGGACCATACCACACCATATCTTGCACAGTATATTCTATTCGTTGCCTGTAAAGGATGTAGTTAGCGCGAGTGGAGTCTGTCGACGTTGGCGTGAAATTGCAAGCGATGAGTTATTGTGGAAAAAGAAAATGCATCGTCACTTCAAGATTGATCCGACATTGCCATTAAAACCAGGTACGTATAAATATATATGTATGACAGTGCAGTGTATAGTGGAAACAGTAAATGGGGCGGGATAAGGCGAGTCGAGGCGGTCACTATTATGATAGCAGTTAAATAATAATTAGGGAGTGGAAGTTCTTCCTACACACAACCTGGGAAGATTATTTTTATCACAAGCTTGACCTAATTCTCTTAACCCCACAACAACAATTGGCCTAACCTTACCCACTCTTGCACAAATGTCAATATCAACTGGTGTTTGCAACAAACATATGTTATGCACATACATATATGCAAAATACTTATGTATACACACGCTCGGCTCGGCTGTTTACATACAAACAGACAAGTAGGTGGGAGGAATTATAAATATCTCATTTAAGGGTAATTTGTAATTTAAATGGGATCAGTGCCAGAGTCTAGATATATAGATTGATTATAAACAACAATAAAACATTTGTTTTCTTATTTGTTATTTATTATAGAAATAATTAGGAATTAGGAATCTCTGCTCGTTTATTGATTGATATTTGAATTAAAATTAAATTAAAAAGTAAAATTAGTTTAATACTAAAATTTAAATACATAGCCTTATATATAATTTTATAATATATATAAATATCAATTTATATGTAGTAGTTATAAGTAATGAAAATTACTTAATAGTTTATAATGTGCCCAGTAAAAAATCTATTCTAATTATTCTTTTAATTACATTTTGTGTTTAATAGATTAAATTAACTTTTAATTAACTAAATTAATTAAAAGTAATTACAATTACTTTATAGTTTATAATGTATTATAAGTATTTTTCTAATACTTCTTTTATTTACATTTTAGGGTTTAATAAATTAAATTAACTTTTAATTAACTAAATTAATTAAAAGTAATTAAAATTACTTTATAGTTTATAATATGTCCAGTTAATAATCTATACTATTTATTTTTTTAATTACATTTTAGTGTTGAATAAATTCGTGTTACGGAGATAAACCGATTTTTAGTCTTAAAAATGACATTATTTATTAACTGACGCTTATATCTGTTTATACCGCTTATACCGATTTCACTATATTTCTGGAACTGATTTGAATGTCTAAAGCCTGGTTCCTACCATCTTGTTTCGAATCGAGATCATGATGATAAACCCACATATCATTCATAGTGATAAAGTAATAAATAACCCTTCTGAAATGCTCTAGATGTTGCTGAATGCGATTAATTCAAAATAGTGAAGTGAAGAAACCATTAACTTAGTTTTTGAAATTCAACTCAACATAAAATATTGCCCAATATGCCTAATGCAAGGAGTAGAACTTCTATTAAGTCTATTTTTGGCCAATCAATGCTCTTACAAAACGATATGTTATTGTTACTGTGTACTTCCTTTGGGGTCTGGTAAATGGCACTTGGTCCTAAAGTCGGTTTTGTTTTTTAGTATTTTAAGTTTTATTTCGTTAGTTTTTTTTTGTATAGTCCTATAAGTATTTCGGGAAATTCGCTTTTGTCTTCATCAGGAGAATTCCTAATATTAAAAACATCTATGCAATTTACAAACTATTTATACTTATAACAGGTGTTATTATTTAATTTTAATTATTTGGGTATTGGTGTTTTTGTTCTTGAATGTAACAGGTTAAAGTGGTTACACTTGGGTGTTTAAATGAATGCTAGCTTTTGGGCCATAGACCCGGCCGTTCTTGGAATTATGTCGTATATTATGTTTACGATTTCTATTGTTGATGCAGTTTTTGGGCGTACTTTACTTGAATTGTTTTTAAGATTTGTACGACCACTTCTAAAAAGACTACCCAAGCCATTATTTTTAAAGGAACAGATTTACCTAACACATACAGCATTTCGTTATAGATTCTCATTGCTTTACATCACTTACAATTTGATCAATGCACGTTGTTCAAGTTTTTCCATTTTTTAAAAATACCTTGACGCATCAAATGGTTTATACTATAAATAAATAAAGTATTGATATATTAAAACAAAATTTCAACTATATTTTAATGAAAGACATAATGTTAAGAACACGTTAATGATTTCGTTCCACTCTGAATAAATAGATGGTGCTACCTGAACTTATAGCACATATATCATATATCAACAAGTATAATAACTTCCGTTAATTTTACAACGTAACAAAAAAAAAATATATAGACCGTGTAAAATTATAGCGATACCAGATTAATGACCTCAGATCCTGTAAACAAGGATAAATAATACTTAAGATCTGTATGTTAATAATGAGTACAATTAAACCCAGTTGAATTATATAGTAATTAATTATTACTATACTGAAAACCCACTTGAGTGGCCATATATTGTCCGTCAGCTTTTGTTTATTCAAAAGATAATACCCTTTGATGTCTGACCAAAACAAATTCGACTTTAAAAAACTTAAGCTCCCAAAAAAGAAGTGTGCGTTGAAGTGAAGTATATTCGGCATAAGCATTTTCATTTAACAAATAAAAGATAAATACAATATATTTTGTTTAATATTGTTTTTATGTATCCTTTCCTATAGGAGCTGAATCGTGGCGTAGTGAATATGTGCGACTTGCCTGCGAAATACCGTTTATACAAACACAATCCATACGTGGACATGCTCATCAAGTGCTCCATGTTAGCTTTTCGCACGATGGTGATATGTTTGCTACGTGCTCCAAAGATGGTTATGTTATAGTAAGTAATACAACAATACTAGAAGCTAACACTGTCCTTAATATGTATATAACAAAAACATGTTATAAACTGGTTATATTCTCCATTCAGAGTTATTTATATTTTTTGAATTTATAGAACTCCAAGTCGTTGGTTATATTTTTTCTGGGAATATTTTAAAACAAATATTTTTTGAGCGATAGCGTTAGTTTTCATTTCAAATAATCCATCAATGCTCATACACTTTATTGCTCATGATAGGAATTGCAGCATGTCTCCAACATTCAAGCAAGCCCATTTGACAACGGAATTCAGTCTCAACATAACTTAATTTTTAGGGAAAAAAAAATATCACTAACAATAAGTTAAGGCCCAGGTATTTCGTACATTTTAGTCGTAAAAATTACATTTACTAAATAGTGTGTATAGCTTTTGTTGATCTTAGCAGTGTTAAAAATGTACAATTTTAAATCTCAATATCTCAAGAAGTAAGCTATGTTAGCACAGCATAGAAGAAAAAATTGCTAGAAGTATTTTATTCTACTTACTTACTTACTTAGTTGACCATTACAGACGTGAGTCGTGAGTCGCCCGATTAGTTGCTTGCTGTCGGCAGTTGGTAGTATCGAGCGCTCTCAAATCGTTAGTCACCTGATCCTTCCACCGAAGATGCGGACGTCCTCCACCTCGCTTTCCACCTGCGGGTACCAAATCAAACGCCTTTCCAGCCGGAGCAGTTTCTTCCATTCGCACGACATGACAAAGCCAGCTATATGATATACTACTTAATGCATCTACAAATATATAGTTAAATATATAGTTATATTTAACTATATATATATATATAGTTAAATATATATATAGTACAAATATATAGTATATGATGTCTTTAATTACCTAATTCTATGACTACGTATATATCTTGTTTCATGTGATGTCTTTAAAGCCCAATAGGTCTATGCGTGCTTAAAGCCAGATAAATCAATATAGTCTGAATTAACTGTTCTAAGCAGATCTTCGCTTTATCGTCGATTCTTAAGTCATAAAAATTATTTATTTTAGAATTCTAAGATGAATGGCACTTGGAATTATATGAATGGCACTTGGTCATCGAAATTGATATATAACTTTGGAACGTATACTCGGTCCTTAGAACCATGATCACCGTATCGTTTTTTTTTAGGTTACGATGTTTAAGATTTTTGTATGGTTTTGATAAAGTTTTGAGTGAGGTTTTATCGATTGTAGAAGGAAATGCGGATCCTTCTTTTCCTAAGCTGAATTCTTAACTCTATTGTTTTACCATATAACTCTTCAGCTTTGTGCTTATCCTTCCCAAACCACATACCTGCTAATCTAGTTGTAAAACACCTTCTCTGATATGGATTCATTTTATATTTTATTAGTATAGAGATAAATTATAATATAGATAATATTTCTGTAACTAAAAATAACGATATTCACAGGTTTGGAATTCGGATCATCCATGTCGTGAAAAGTATGCACATAACATGAAGGAATTTAATTGGAAATATACACAATTCTCTCAGTTCAATCAAAGCGATACCTTGTTAATGGTATCAGGTGTTCACTTTGGTTCACCGCATAGCACATCTGGTGAAATAGCTGTTTTCACTGTTTATGGTTTGTGAGCTCAATTTAAACATTTAATTAAAGTTATTAATGCAATTTATTCAAAATAACTGTTTTCTTTATAGGTAAATCGCATTTGCGTTGTCGTGTTGTTAATCGACCATATGATATATTTGGCACTTGGTTTAGTGATCAATATCTAATCGCCGGTGATTTAATATGGTTAGCACATTTGGTTAGCACATCAAGATTGCTACTTAATAAAGCTAATCAAGAAACTGCTTCGGAACATGTCCCCATAACATGTGAACTATTCAAATTTTTAAATCTCAGTGCAAGTTCCGTTCGTGCGATTATGATTGCAAGATGTCCATGGTTAAATGATGAAAACGATCCCTTACCACCAGAAGGTAAACAATGTAAGGTTAGTTATCTACACTCATTTTTTTATATATTTTATTTATTTACATTTGTAATGATATTTATTTTTAAAGGAGTCCGCAACTGATGATGAAGTTCCAACAACTAGTAATGGTGTACATAACTCTCAAGAACAACCAAAAACATATAAAATAGAGGGCTTACCAGATGTAGCACAGCAAAGCACATCAAATCCTAATGTAGATAGTGCAACCATACGCTATGCGGAAGCATATCTGAAAAATATTAAATTTAATAATGACTACGAATTAACTAGCTCCGATGACGATGATCAAGTAGTAGGAAATAGTAATGATGTGAATATTCCCGTGGAAGACAGTGATATGGAAAATGATATTGATTTGCAAGAGCAAACTCAACTAAACCATGATGACGAAGATGACGATAATGAGGATATGAGCAGTGATGAAATGGAAAATCATATACCAAAGTATCTTATATTTTCTATGGGATCGAAAACTTACACACCGCATCAGATTGGTATCAAGCGTATTAGGAATGTTAATTTCCCTAAGCGTTTAGATCCTGGTTTACCCTTAAGGGAACGTTTAGCTGCTAGAAGAGCAGCACAGCGAGAGGTATATTTTTGAAAAATATAATGAAAGTATTTTTTAAATATTTTGTCACTAAAATAAGCATTGTTATGCTTTAGTACATATCTTAATAATTATAATAATTAGTTTATGTTATTATTAGAAATACAAATCGCATATTTACCACCTTTTTGGAATGGCTAAAATGTAGTTTATAAAATAAATTGAATAATTTAGCTTTGCAAATTTGATAAAGGTTAATGTTTAATATGCAATGTAGACGATAAAATAAAGGGAATGACGCAGATGTAGTTTTAGTAATATTAATTTATATTAGATCGTGATCCTGATGATGACTCTCAAGGAGAGTCGATGTATAGAATATATTAAACAATATTAAACAAACGTTGATTTATTTAACAAAAAGTGATCTATAACCGAATTAAAAAAGTATATAAAAACCATTTTAATATGATTTGTAACTAAATTTCTATTATCAGTGACAATTGAGAGTTTTAGTAACATAATCAAGTAATGTACTTTGTCTGTTTATATATCTATTTAATTAGAATATTTGCTGAACTATTATGTTATCTATTTATCCATTGTTTTGTTTTGTTTTAGGTACGCCCTGAACCTGCTATATCTGCTGTACAAAATTTTAATACACCAGATAAAATTATTGATCTTCATGGACATATCGTTGGCATGGCTTTGAGTCCGGATCACAGGTTTGTTTACATAGTTTACATGTATTTTAATTTATTTTATTTTTTATTTATATATTTTTTATGAGCTGTTAAGTTATTATTATATACGAATTAATTATAATATATGTATACTAAAAAATTAAAAGAAAAATATTTTTCTCTAAAAAGAAGGAACTGTTCAAATCCTTAATATTAAAAAAAAAAACGCTTAACGTTACAACCATTTTAAGCAAATCATTCCCATCTTTTAACTGTGTTGAATTTCTTATGCTACTGAAACATCATGAAAGAAATATGAATGCAGGTTAAGACAAAATTTTTCTAGTATTGATTACATTTATACAATATATAAAGGTATCAGGAGTGCTCAAGTCGACGTTCCAAAGTTATTCGTCATTTAAGATGACCAATGTCGCTTTTTCCTCCTAACTAAAATTTAATATCTTACAACACCAACATAAAATGTTTATGCTTGGTTTAAAAAACTTAATTGCCAAGTATGTTCTGCCATCATTTATATTTAAATAACATTTTATAATCTAAATCGTAAATTCTTATAAAGAATACTCAATAAATTTTAAGATGTCTACTAATATAAAATTATCTGTTTTATATTAGTAGTCTTTCATTTGGTCTTTAGAAAGATCGAAAGCAGCTTTTAGCAAAAGACCCCTGCCAGAATACGAAAGATCTTTCAAACGATTTTTAGATTTTTAAGTGTGGTGAGCCAGACAAGCAAATCCCTGTGAATTACAACAAACACCACATCTTTTTTCCAATGTGTCATAACTGATGATAGCCCTTAAACGTTTCGAATAATAATAATAAACTCATATCTCTATTTATTAGAGGCTTGCTTACTTACTTACTGTTAGAAATGCTCCTCAATTTAAAATAAATTGTAAATTGAGACCAAGCACATGGAGAAGAAATATTTTAAACTGCATCGCGTTATCTCATTCAGAGATACTAATGTAGCTATCAAAACCCATACTATGCTGTTATATTGCAGTAAAAGCACAGTTAAGTGGAAGCTCCCATAAATCTTTTAATCTTTAATATATCTTTTAATCGTGCAATGTAGCTAACACATAATATTAATTTTTTATACAAACAACGTTTTGGGAAACGGGCAATTCTTTTACCAAACAATTTTCTTAACCGAAAGAATTGCAAGTCTAGGCGGTATAAGCTTAATAGAGCTTTCACTGTATTATATCTTTTAAAAAAATTTTATTGTATAATTATTGTATGTATATGTATGTATCATATTAATATTTTATAATTTAATACTTTCTATATCATTAGTTTTTATATATTATTGTTTCCTTCAACAGATACTTATATGTGAATACACGTCCTTGGCCTCAAAATTATGTTATATCTAGTCCATTGGAACCGCCTCCAATTGCACAGGAGATTGACATACAAGTCATTGATTTGATGACTCTTAAACGTGTAGGAAATATGTTACGCTCTCACAAGGCTTATACACCCAGTACGGAATCCTTTTTCATATTTTTGGATGTGTGCAATAATTATGTTGCAAGGTAAGTGTTAGAAATTTAATCAAGTATTGATTGAAGTTCCATTATTTACTTCCATAAAGCTTTAATTGCTAACACTATGTTTACAGTGGCTTAAAATTACTAAAATGTCTATACGTGACACCGGCATTTTTAGAATTTTACTATAGACAACATTTTTATTGGTCTTTTAGTTGTTTTGTATTCATAAAATACAAAAAACTAGTGAAAAGCCATGGATTTTACTAAACATAAGTAGAAGAAAATCGCACTTTTCTAGACTATAATTCATATTTCTTTCCTAAATGAAAATAAAAGGAATGATAATTTTTTGTTAGTTTATTTCGATAGTATATCTACTATTAATATCGCGGACTAATTTTGCATTTTTCCATTTATTGAAGTAAATTGCTTCTTAAATGTAAATTATTTTTACTTTAAAACAATTCTTAACACTAAGCAATAACAACAATGCTCCTCTAAGTGAACAAAAAGAAGTATTTTATAATTCTCATTAGCATTAAATATGTTTTGCTTAATATGTATTAAGCGTATGTTGCTAATGTAATGTATAGCAATTTAATATAAAATGAAAATAAAGAACTTATTTAATTTATATATTCTATTTAGTCTTCTGAACTTTTTTTTTTTATTTTGGAGTTAGTTTTATAATGTACATTTGAGGACGCTGAAATAAATTATAATCAGTTTTTTTAGCCTTTCATTGTTAATGCGAAATATAAAGACTTATGGGAAAATAATATTACATTATTTTACATGTTTAACTTTAAAATTAAAAAAAATATTTTTAACAACATAAATTAAAAACGTGATACTAATTTTATCCGTTTATATTTAAATGTTAAACAAACAGAATAGTATTGGAATTTAACGATTAAAAATAAAAATATGATTAATTAATTCATTTATTCTACAGCTGGTTTATGATTTCGTTTCAATATAAACACAGCAAGTAAATTTGTTAATGAACTTTCACAGCCAATTAACAAAAACTGCAGAAAAATGTCAAGTACGGTTTGGGGTCAGTTGCGCTGACTCTGAGCTTTAAATTTGGCAGGGCACGAGTTTGATTCCTGGTATTTACAGGCTCAAAAAATTGTTTACGAATAATTAAATACAAGAATTATTTTCAAGACCACTGATGATGAATATTTGGCAATACTTAAAACCGCTGTATTGTATTTAGTCAAACATTCAATTAATAAAAATAATATAAAAAGTAATTTTTGTTATTATAGTTCACTACTGTTCGAAAAACCTCTTTATTTAAATTTTCATTAAAATATTAAATAAATGTGAGAATGTTATTGAAAACTAAACAAACCACACATTTATTTTATTCTGCAATTACTTTCGCAGTCAGACTCTCAAACCGTTGCCATTATAATCATATTTAATTGTTTTTTAATTTAATTAATTATTTTATTTTTAAAATAAATCTGCAAATATTTAAATTTTATTTTGTGTACAAATTATCTTTCAAATGCTCGTTATCAAGCCCTTAAAATATAAAGGTAAAACTACTGCAAAATGCTAATTTAATCGGTCTTGTGCGATTCTTGAATCGATTCTTGTGAATTGTGAAACAGGCCCTCAGTGTTTAAAAGCCAATGGATACATATATTACGTATATATGTATATATATATTTTAAAAGAATCATCAGAATATATCTAAAATATCTTCGTAGTATAGTTTATTGTATCTCTACAGCCGTAAACAGCTTTCATCATATAAGAAAAAGTTCATTTTATTAAGAAAGGCCATCGAACAATAAAAATTACTTTTAAAAAATTGCTGAAGTCGGTTGTACCATGTATTTTATTAGTCTATCACTATCTTTGTGTCTATTAAAATTCACTATTTGCTCGTTGCATTCATTGTCATTTACAACTCATCTGTACAAAATGAGATAAATGACATTTCATTTGTCAATTTTTGCTTAAATTTAAATCCCTTAAAACGTCAGTGTAAACGTACTATATGCATAATTAACACTTATATTAATCTTTTAAAGTGGAGCTGAGGATATGCATGCTTATTTGTGGGATCGTTACTATGGTATATGTTTGGCCAAATATAAACATAGCGATGTTGTAAACAGTGTTGGCTTTAATCCAGCTGATTCAGAGATGCTAGTAACAACCAGTGATGATTACAAAATTAAGGTAAAATTTGTTTTATATAAAAATAATTAAATACTAATTATTTGCTATCTTAATTACAGATTTGGCGCTCACGATCGAAGGCTAAACAATATAAATTGAATTCCTTAATTCTAAAGAAAGCGATTGAAGTGAATAAAGAGTCATAAAAGTTAAATACTGACTGCAAAGTGTTAAGAAAAACACTGAAGAAAAACGACAGTCTATTTCCACCTGATTTAAAATTAGTATAAAATATTATAATAAAAGTTATTCAATATTTGTATAAAATGAATTAAAAATTAATTATTCGTTCAAGGTGTCCGGGTATTGTCATTAGGCAATACACCCGTGAGTATGGGTCTATAACCATGAAAATGGATATGGAGCCATGACAGTGACGAAGCTTCAGTTAGTAGTTAACTGCAAGTTTGGACACATGAATAATGTGATCTATTAATTTGGCATCTGTTATATATATATCTTAATTTATTTTGTTGTAATTTAAAAGTTGTTTATATCTTTTAATTTTGTTATTAATTTTAAGTGTTAAATAAGTTTTTAATTACATTTTTTTCACAAATTTGTTAAAAGTAATACCTTATAGTGAGGTACTTTAAACATTTATTGCATTTTATTTTTTGGAAAAAGACAGGCAATATTTGTCGTTTTAATTCGAATAATAAATCTGAAACTAATACTCATACTACTATTAAGTTTAAGTCACTAACAGTTTTATCTGTATAAAAAATTATAAATCAAAAGTCAATGAATACAATAAATATTATGCTTTAAAGCATATATTTATTTAAAAGGTATTGTGAGTGTACTTTGCTTCTTATTAATTAAATATTATAATCTAATATTGTATGTATAAATATGTAAGAACATTTACACGCAATACCACAAGACATGTAAATATTAATTACAATTTAAATGTTAATAATGTTAAAAAAAAATTTGATGTGTTTCAAAAATAAATAAATTCATAAATTCAAATTTCTTAATTGTTAGTTAATTCTATTTATTTTTATGTAAAACGATAAATAAACAAAACAATTTCTATAAAATGTTAAATATCTTTGTGATTGGTTCAATATATTGAAGTAAAATCGAGTTAAGCTTTTTGAAACTAAACTGAATATATTTTTGATTTAATGTCTTTAAAATTAGGATTAATAAGAAAACAGAAAATGTATATATGAATGTTTATATTTAATATAACTTATTTAATTGTGTAATGTATGTATATTTAAATGTGTTTATATTCATATTTATGTGTATTACAACTATTTATGTATCTATATTTATGTATATGTGTGATTATATATATATATATATCTTAATCAGTGGTAAAGTGTTGAAGTATTTAGACTACTGTTAACATGCAGAGATACAAGATACTTAAATATTTTAATAATATTAATATTTTTTTGACACAAACATAACGAAAATAGTTGCACTATGTTAAAATAAGTTTATCAGAAAATAAATAGAATGAGTGAAGAATAAAACACCTTACTATATACCAATATAACTAAGGTATTCAATTTATATATGCAACATAAGTTTTATAGATCTCAGTAAACCAATGTACAATGCATGTCAAATTTAACGAATAATTTATTGCACAGCCAAATCGTTAAATAGGTTAGGTTAAAGTGGCAGCTTTGTACACCAAAACCCACTTGAGGTCAAGTAATGGTCCGTTAGCGAACTAGCATGGATTAGCGATGGTCATACACTGGCCTTCGCTCATCTAACATAAGTAAAATGATACATTAAACAAAAACTGTGGGTTTTACAAACTTAGTTATTATGAAGTTGTAATTTTGGTATGACACATATTGTTTTCTGTAGCCCAGAAGCTGTAAGTGTTTCATAGCATTTTGGGCGTTATTTCACAGTGTAACTCTCTTTTAAATTCGTATGTGTATCTTGTAGTATTTATCAAAGTATATACATTTATATATAACGAATATGAATAAATGAATTTGGTCATTTGTTGAATTGAATATTTGTGAAATGGACTGTTAATTATATGGTATGTGTACTATGTTTTAGAATTGACGAAAATACTAAATTTTTTCATCAATGACTAGTATTAAGAATAACAATAATTAAATATAATTAGTTCTCAACTTTAAAACTAATACATTTCTAAATGTTTCTTTAAATAGAAAACTAACATTAAATTTTAAAGTAAGCTATTAATTGTGGGACGAGTTAAAAAATAATACATATCTAAATTTAAAATCGAACAGTCACTTAAACAATCTAGTTATCAAAAGAATGAGTTCAGACTTACTTTAGTCAACAAATTAAAAACTCACATTAGTTATTAACAAGTTGTTATGTTGCAATATTAGGAAAATCTCAATTTGAGGACTAAAATATAAAATAATCATTTGCTAACATTTTATTTGAGAATAACGCTTGTAGGTAATTAGTTAAACAACATCAGTTTCCGTACTTAATACAATAAACATGTATGCAAATTGTTCATCCAATGAGAAAACCAAAAATCAACACCGCACTATATCAATATTATAATGAACACGTCTACCCACTGATATCGCTATATACCCATTCATATATATATATATGTATATATATATATATAATATTAAAACATTTTCACATATATCGATGTATATTAGAATATAAGCATATATATCAATAAAATTGAAAGATCACTATATATATATTCACAACAATATTGGTCTTTATTTAAATTTTTTATCATATAGCTATTTTTTATGTACCCCTGGGTGTGTTGAAATATCCTTTAATATTCGTACTCAGACATCTCGTTCATTGATCATGCATTTGTAGTTTCGATCATTCATCTTATAAGGTTAATTTTTAATCTCATCAATCCATCGCACACCCTCTCTTGCATCAAATAATTGCTACAGAAAAAAGATGATTGCAGCTATCGTATATGTTGTTTCTTTTTAAATTGAATCACTGTGCGTTTGTCTATTATTACCTGCTTAAACTGATGATGTTGGAATGGAAAGAATACCCTTTCTTCTCTCAGGAATTGTTCTTCCGACAGATAAATTTAAGAAATAAATAAATGATAATGAACCACTACACAAACAGCTATATTGCGCAACTACAGAAAAAATTGGAGTCGACAAGCAAATCCGTAGAACAGTTAACAGCTATAGTTGTGAGAATCAGGTTCCTGAGCTATGGGTTAAGAACAACGCCTGGGTCTACGTTTCGGATAAAATAGTCTCCGCGGGTTAGATGAACAACACCTATAATGTGCCGTGTGCAATTCGGAAAAGTCACAAAATGATCCGATTTCTATGGTAAGTCGATAAGGACTAATATTATCGGGGTTACAAGGTAAGAACAACATCTATAATATGCCGTGTACAATTCAAAAAAATCACAAAATGATCTGATGTCTAAGTCGATAAGGTATATATATTATAACCTTGGTTTATATTTACTTACTTATGAGTACCTTAGACTCATGAGCAAGAGTCAATTATTAGGTGAGCTCAGTATTTGCTCATATTGAAGAGCTGCTCATCAGCGTGAGTCTTCAATTTGCTCATATTGAAGAACTGCTCATTAGATCTCACGAGCCGAAAGCTCAGCTAAAAAGCTAGGTTACTGGCAATAGTTTTTAATTAGATTTAAGGCATATAAAATTTATTACACTTGTTTTTCGCATTCTAAGCAAATCGTTTTATTACATTTGTGTAAAACTTTGAAATACTTATTTTTTTATTTCCAAATTTTTCGAAACACAATATAACATAATTTAAAACTTAATATAATTTAAAAATATAAAACAATTAAGTAAACGCGCAAAATTCAAATAAATAGTGGCACAACTATGGTATATGTTTTTCTTTTTCTACCATGCAGCACTTTCTTGTAAGCAGCGCATGAGGTCTCATTAGGCTCAGCTCGTACTCTTGCTCAGGAGCGTGAGCCAATTCATAACTTAATGGCGACTCTTGCTCATGAACGTGAGCTCTGCATTTGGGCTCGCTCGTGAGCGTGAACAATCGTATGAAGAGTTTCTTGTCTACTCATGAGCTGTGAGTATAATGAGCAAAAAAGAACCGCTCATGGGTACGCAAATACGAACTCTGATTGTAACACACACCAAAAAACTGTTAAGTGTCAATTAGCAATTATGTCCTCAACGTCAATGTCTTGCAGTCACTCTTCTTTACAGACACCCAAGTACCACTCACACCAATGTTATACTTATATAAAAATCACTTGCTTTATGTTAAGTTTATAATTTTAAAGATATTTATTTGGTAGTTATTCAACAAATATATATGTGTAAATAGATAGATAGATATATAATTTAATTAGGCACTCTACCTAATTTTTAATAAAATTAAAAAGTAACACATTCTACATAAAGCGATTAAGTTTACAAAATGACTTAAATATAATTAGAATTAATTCACACATATCCAGGGACCGTAACAGTTAACATTTAAAAAAAAAATCACCTTATAACTGTTATCATTCGCATTTTAAAATAAAATTTAAAAAATAATTAAATTTGTTTTATATAATATTCATCAAAAATAATTATTATCATGTGCCTTTTATTTTAAAACACACAAATAACTGTTATTTTGGTTTAAATATATAAAAATCACAAAGTCTTATTTTTGAAAACAAAATATAACTGACATTTTCATATAAGGTACCATATACCGTAGTATATATGAAAAATGCGTTTTATATTTTCGTTTTTAAAATTATTCAGGAGGCCAGTGTGAGTTATATTTGGTTTTTAAAAATAAGACTAATTTCTGATTTTTATATTTATAATGCAAAAATAAGAGTTATTGTGCGTTCTAAAATAAAAGGCAAATGATAATAATTATTTTTGATGAATATAATATAAAGCAAATTTAATTATTATTTTTTGAGTTTTATTTTAAAACACTCACATATATAACAAGCATGCATATTAAAAATGAAATGATATAGTTATAATAACTATATACTTAAATATAAGTTTAAACAACTTTATGTTGCGGTTTTTTTCTTCAACATTTTTGAAATGACTGTTATTTTCGGTCCCTGCACAAATCTAATTATTTTATTGGCGTTGTTGTTTAATTGTTATCTTTTTCAGTATCATTATTGTTATTCTCATTAGCATCTAAATCGTTTTGTTCCGGCGGTGCAGGCTTTTGGTTCTTTTTACGTTTCTCCGGATGACCGAAACAATTTTCACAATCGTCATCACTTTCTGATGAACTCTCACCAAATTCGTGTTGTTTTCGAAAGATACAGCAACCTTAAATATATTTAATTTAATTAAAGTAAAATTTAAATAATGTCAAATGTACTTTTTAAAATCTTACACTTTGATTTTTTTTTGTTTGCGTGTTCATTGTCGACCGTGTCCTCACGCCAAGCAACAGAACGTTTTGATTTTGGCTTCTTTAGACGCAATCTCAATACTGGCGGTTGTGCCTATCGATTGCAATAAATTGTAAAATATTGTATTACTTTATATAACATAAGCTATAAATTACCTGTACTTCCTCTTCTCCAACTAATTGCGTCTGAGAAGAGACTACGTTGTCCACACGATCAACGTTTGCCATTGATGTTAATGTATTTTTTTTATAATTTAGTTTTTTATTAAATATTTTTAAAAATACATAACCGATTTTTTATACTTGTGTTAAAAATTTAAAATTTTGTAAACAAAAACATTACTACATATTTTATAATCATTTGATTGCACATATTTTGGTTATCAAAATGTCAACAAAAAAAAAAAACAAACAGAAATCGCATAAAATTGCTAGATAATGCGTTCGAAAATTATAAAATGTGTGTAAAATGTTTTTTAAGCCGTGTGTGAGTTCAAGCATATTGAGGTAAAGTAAATTGAAATTTCCTAGAGATTTTGTGCATTACACTTATGTAAATATTTATTTAATTATTTTTTGCACTTATTTATTATTTTTCGTTAAAAGTTTTCACATTTTTTTATTAAACAACCTATAAACTTTTCACAATGATAACACCTAATTTTAATCTAATTTACACTACTCAAAATTCTTGTAAATACCAACATTCACTGCCATACCGACATATTTCACTATTTCCCTCAATTTACCATCAATTTTCTCGAACACGCACACGGCCATGCACGTTCATAAATGTGAACAAAAGCAACAGCTGCAAATCAGCTGTTTTGGTTTCAATTTAAATTTTCGAATTGTTCACTTGAGCGGCATTGATAATATTAAAAAAAAAGTTTAACTCTTAATTTTTTTAAGTTTTAATTGTAATAAATAAATCAATATTGAAATGCGTCAAAAAAACATAAATACAACATACACAATCAGATTATAAGGTAATTAATATACTTCGAGGTAGTGAAAAAAGAAAAGTTAGATAAAAATTAGGTATTACCATTGCGAAACTTTTATAAGACGTTTAATAAATAAATAAATAAATTTGAAAACTTTTAACGGTAAATAATAAATAAGTGCAATAAATAAATATTTCCATAAGTGCAGTGCAAAAAATCCCTAAAGAATTTCAATTTACTTTACCTCAATATACTCGAATTCGCACACGGCCTAAATAAAAAATATATAAATATATATTTTGGGTTAGAAATTATTAAGTGATTACACTCAATATATATATATATATATATATATATATATATATAATTATATATATATATATATATTTATATAGTTTTGTATGTTAAAAAAATAGCATTTGCATTATGAAAATAATGTAAATAATGTAAATTAAAAACAATTTATATATAAGCTATGTTTATACAGACCACCAGATTGATATATAAGTGATCAGCTGACTGCTATAGAGTTGCCAACTTCGTTCAACAACTGAAGTCATTATAATCATTTAAGATATCTCATTAAATATTTTTTTTTTTAAATAATTGAACAACACAATAATAACATTAATAGTATTAATATTTTAAGCATATAAAATTGATGTATTACACAAACAACTACGTGAAAATGCAGCCGCTATGTAATGTATTTTGTTTTTGCTTGCTTGCACTTGTAAACTCTATTGTTGGCTACAACTCAAACGTCACATTTATTGGAAGAAGTTCCAAAAATGGCAGGCGCTTTAGTGCGATTAAATTATTTACAAAAAACACAAATTGGTAAGTTAAATACATAATTTTTGATAAATTTACGTTGGGAAATATTAAATTATTCACCTGATAGCATTTTCAAAAAGCTACAACAGTTGCTTAAGTGTGAAAATTGCCCTGCAAAATTATGTAATTTTTTTTGTTGCAACCATAACAAACATTGATTTTGCACGAAGATACTATGACGTCGTTTATTAAAATTTATCTATAATTATTAATATAATTGCATATTATTTCAGTGTGTGCTCTACCATCGGTAGCACAGCGACGTCTGCAAGGTACACAAGCACCTCCACCAGGCACACCACCACCACAAACCAAAACAAAGTTTGGTCCACTCGCTGATCAAGATCGCGTATTTACTAATTTGTATGGCAGACATGATTGGCGTCTCAAAGGTGCTATCAAGCGTGGTGATTGGTATAAAACAAAAGAAATTGTTTTGAAGGGTCCTGACTGGATTATCAATGAGATTAAAACATCTGGTTTACGTGGACGCGGTGGTGCTGGCTTCCCGAGTGGCATGAAATGGTCATTTATGAATAAACCATCAGATGGTCGTCCCAAGTATCTTGTAGTTAACGCAGATGAAGGTAAGTTTAAAAATAATATAAATAGTGTTATACTAGTTTTAATTTTGAATCAAATATTTAGGTGAACCTGGTACCTGCAAGGATCGTGATATTATGCGTCATGATCCACACAAATTAGTTGAAGGTTGTTTAATTGCTGGTCGTGCAATGGGTGCACAAGCTGCATATATTTATATACGTGGTGAATTCTACAATGAAGCATCCAATATGCAATTGGCTATAGCGGAAGCTTATCAGGCAGGTCTTATTGGCAAGAATGCATGTGGTTCTGGTTATGATTTTGATATATTTATGCATCGTGGTGCTGGTGCTTACATTTGTGGTGAAGAAACTGCTTTAATTGAATCACTTGAAGGCAAACAAGGTAAACCACGTTTGAAGCCGCCATTCCCTGCTGATGTTGGTGTTTTCGGTTGTCCAACGACTGTAACTAATGTAGAAACAGTTGCTGTTGCACCAGCAATATGTCGACGTGGTGGCGCTTGGTTTGCAAGTTTCGGTCGTACACGTAATTCTGGCACTAAGCTATTTAATATATCAGGTCATGTGAATAATCCGTGCACTGTGGAAGAGGAAATGTCCATACCACTAAAGGAGTTAATTGAACGTCATGCTGGTGGTGTGCGCGGTGGTTGGGATAATTTACTTGGTGTAATACCAGGTGGTTCCTCAACACCTGTTATACCAAAGAATGTATGTGATGATGTTATTATGGATTTTGATGGTCTTATTGCGGCGCAAACCTCACTTGGTACTGCTGCCATTATTGTGATGGACAAATCAACAGATATTATTAAGGCAATTGCGCGTTTAATTTCATTTTATAAACATGAAAGTTGTGGTCAATGTACACCATGTCGTGAAGGTATTGGTTGGATGAATAAAATTATGACGCGGTAAGTGAATTATCAAAGTTTTTATGTAACTTATCGGAGTAAATTTTGTGTTTTGTTTACAATTTTAGATTTGTGAGCGGTGATGCAGGTGCAGACGAAATTGATATGCTCTGGGAAATATCAAAACAAATCGAAGGACACACAATTTGCGCTTTGGGTGATGGCGCTGCTTGGCCAGTGCAAGGCTTAATACGCCACTTTAGACCAGTAATTGAGGCTAGAATGAAGCAGTATGAAACGCAGAGAGCGTCTGTTCGATACTAAATTAGCAAAAATATAAATGCTAGCAATAATTGTTTAACGAATGTGTAAAGTTTTATTATTAAAATTAAATAAAATTTAAATGGTCTTACCAAATATGTAAGAGTCATAATCTGAACTATAAAAATAAAACAGATTTGCCAAACAATTGACCTAATTAAAAATAATATGTAAAATTGTTTGAATACTTAATGTACTTCCTATTTAAATGACATTTATTTAATCATTCAAATGAAAAGATTTAATGTGATCAACTGCAAGGTAGGCTGGTACCATAGCTTAAGTAATTTAACTTTAGAAGAGCAGGGTTTACGGCCGGAGTCACTTGTCTCTTCAGATGATTAGGTACTGTTTGTAATTCCTAACATGAACTACAGCTACGAACTGTGTATAGCGGAATTGGTTACAAAGCCATTTATATTAAATAATATATTTTAGAGGATTAAGTTGGCTTTCCTAAACCTAGTGAGTAACTTTAAAAGACCACTTACCAATAGTCTATGTCCTGGTACTAGTTGTCTGTACTGACGACTCATTCATCTTATTAGGGACTGAAACAAAACAAACGCAACAATAAAACTTTCAAGAATAACTACAAATATTTCATACATTATAAGATATAAGTAGCGCGATGAGGTGGAAGACTAGAGGCAAGTCTTTTTCATTCAGCTTGCATTGTTTTTTATTACGTTCGTTTAACTGATAAGTTGTAAAATCTCAGTATTTATGATATAATTTTGACGTGATTTGTTATTTATTTTCATAGATGATGAGATACTAAAAGGCACAAAGGTCATTACTATAAAGTAAAGGCTTTTCTAGTGTGTTTTGGTGTTTTTTAAATCGTGTTAAAAAATCGAAGTATCTATTAAAATGATTGGTTTTTTAAATACTACGGTGCGTTACTAATGGATGTTGGAATTTTTGAGTTAAGCAATTATTTTTGCATTGTTCGGATATAAACATTTTAGTGTTTTCCAGTTTATTTAACTTTTTTTCTTAGAAGCAATAGCTGAACATGAATGCATCAAATGATTTATATCAGTTTTTAATCGATAGAGATTTAAGATGAATAGATAAAAGTTTTTTTATGACTATTTTACTGCTATATATGTATATACATTGTATATTCAAAATACAAACACAAATAAGGTTTATTAAATGTATAGAAATAATTCGCAATGCAGGCCCTATGCTCCACTGAGAGATGAGGATAAGAGAGAGTGAGAGATAGAAATAATTTATATGTATATGGAAGTGATAAAAATAGTTTATGATTATTAATTACCGTTTTCTACCGTTTTACGAGATATCAGAGTGCATCAGCATATAAAAATATAAAATATAAATTCTTTGATACGGTTTTGGTGACGGGACAATCCATGCACCTCATTAGAGTCAACAACAAATATGTTTTCAACTAGGTGCTGTGACCCGAAGAACGACAGTGATGTTAGATACTCCTCACTTCTCACCGAGGAGGAAACATTATCCGAATGTATAGCTTCAATTGGTTCCGGTTTAGTTCCAATGGGGCTTTCGTCAACACATTATATCGATACGTGTGCTGAGGCCACCGCGGAGCTTAAGTCAGGATCAACACCTTTCCATATAAATATTTTACTTTAAAATACTTATTGTATTTAAAAGAATTTAAAATGAGTAATTTCTTATTTGCATGGCAAAATCAAGTCGTCTTAAATACATATTTTAACACGGTAATATGTAATATACTGAAGAGACCGAAGTCTTCATAACTTTGTTGAGATGTGGATTAAGTACATAGATACGTATTTCAAAACGGTAGAATGTAATATACTGAAGAGACCGAAGTCTTCATATCTCTTTGTTAAGATGTGTATTAAGTCCATAGATACATAGATCTTATGTATGCTCTAAATCTTAATGTTTATACAACAATGTATTAATATTTTGACATATTTTAATAAAGAGTATTGACTTTTGATTAAGGCATATTGTAGTTCAGTGTTCATATTTCAGGTTTGTCATATTAAGGATTGTAATTATCTGCTGAATTATGTTTATATGATTTGATTAAAGAGATTTCTATCTCAATGTCTTTATTATACTGAGTGCCTGTTCATGCCTTGTAGTGATCCACAACTAACCTCTGATGAGTTTGGATATCAACAGAAAGCTGTCAGCAATAGCGTGATAGCCCAGGTAACCACCAGACTAATATATTTGTTCTGTTTTATAACTACAAAGAAACAGTTCATCTAACGGGTTATCTTGACTTGTGTTACTATCTGAACAGGTCGAAACTGTCCGGGGCAACAAAATGGAACCATTTCTAAAACGAAATAAAACTTCTAATTACTGTACAGCTCTGAACTAGATCAAGAGAAAAAAAGTGATTTGGGAGTATCTATCTTTGGTTGATAGTAAAACATCTTTAACAACTTATATTAAAAGTTTATTTGAAAGAATATAACATTCAGTTAGGATCAGTTGCAAACATCCCAGCTGTCCACTCTACTGTTAGCATAGACTTCTATTCTATTAACTTCTATTCTTTTATGTCTTGTCATAAAAAAAAAATAAAAAAGGATATCATATATCTTATAAAAGTTTAAATAAGTATTTGTTATAATGAAAACACAGAACAACAATAATATATACAGAATAGTATATATAGAATAGTATTATTATTAATTTATAAATTAAGTGTTTGTATATGTTCCACAACTGCGTCAATGTCTTCCTGTGATACATCGGCGTAATGGGGTGGGAATGTACAGACATAGAATGGTCCACCAATTTTTTGTTTTATCGGCTGTAGTACACATTTTGCAGGCACAAAGTTATATCTAAAATTTTGAATAAAAAGTTATTAATTTCTTGTTAATTGATTTTAATTTAAAAATTACTTTCGTGGTGCTGCGACACAATAATTTAAAAATATTAAACAAAATAACAAACAAAAATAAATTAAACGTTTCATACTAATTTGCATTGCTAATCTAGCGAAGACACTGTGGCGCGCTTGCGAGTGTGGATATGTCTAGCTCGGTGAAGAATCACTTACTAATTGCTAAGAATCGTTCTAAGCGGTGAGATATTTGTGCTATTGTTTAGATATTTATAAACACCTATATAGGTATGTGCATTTGTATTTGCTATAGGTAATTAAATTTATTCATATATAAATCATAATAAGCTGATGTGACTATTTAAAATTTTATGTCCGAAATTTATTCAGAAGTCAACGAAAAGAAAAAAAGATTAAGTAGAGGATTCTTCAGGCTCGATGTGGTGCTATTATTTTACAATCCGGATTAATAAAATGAAGAGCTCTTATAAAACCATTGTTTTTTAATTAGATTTGTTATAAATGAAATATACTTAATAGATATGTGCTTAATTGCAGGAACATATATAATGATTTAACTCAGAAAGTCGAATGTTGGACGATATTGGCTAATTATCTCTTTAGAACAGACAGAGTAAAAATAATATATTTTCTATATCTTCAATAGTATTTCTGGAAATTTTCACTGCTACTTGCGATTCTCTGCTGGTATTATATATATTTAAATTAAAACATAAGCGTAGTTAGGTTATGATTAGGTTAGGTTAAGTTGGCTTGGCGCGAAGTGACGTGACGGCCTTGTACCCAATGTTCACTTGAGGTTAAATAATGGCTATGAGGTTATAAATAATGGATATGAGACATAATTTACAAAACAAAAATGTCGAATAAAAACTCCACTCAGAAGAAATAATCAATGAAATCCTGATTAAAAGCTATTATTCTCTAAAATTACAAATTTAGTTTAACTAAAAACAGTTCTGCATACTCAAATTAATCTCTTATTTCTAAACCACATTATAAAAAAGTCATCATGCATACTCATACCATCGCCATTGATTCATCACATGTGTGGGAAGTGATGGGTACACTTTTAGGGTATACCAGAGCTAGTTTCATTTGATTACGTCCATGATTTATAAATAATTTATATTTATTATTTCAAGAATTATTTAATACTTAAAAATAATTTTTCAATAATATCCTGCTACCTATATGGAGTTATAGGGCCCAATTATGGGGTACTGCAGCAGACTCAAACCTGGCAATTATCCAGCCTTTCCAATCTAAAACATTACGAATGATCACAAATGTACCTTGGTATATAACGAATGAACAGCTGCATAAACAATTATATGTTCGGACAATCAAGGAAGAAATAGCCAGTATTTTAAAGAATTACGCTCATCGTATATATATGCACCGAAACCCGCTGGTTTCACACCTGATGTCCCCTTCCATCACTTTCACTGGGCATAGTAGTCCATGCGTGCCCTTCTTTTTTTTTTTTTTTGTAGATCGTAATACCTGACAGATTGTAATAAAATAAATGGATTTCAAAAAAAAAAAAAATAATATCCTGCTATTTGAGAGGTAGAACTTTATTAATGGTTGTTTGGCATGTTCACTAGCTTTAAATCTGAATTTCTTATAAAAATTATTCAGGAATTTGATGGTTTCAACCAAATTTCTTTATTTTATTATGCATTTTTCGGATAAGGTATAAAGCTATATATAGTCTGATATTTTTATGAATTAGTATGACGTACTTTTTATATCATATTGCTAGTATCTTTTCTTTGAATAATTTATTTTAAATTTTTTAATTACTGAAATTACATCTTCAATTCAATTTTTTTTAGCTTTTAAAATTTAGCAACCCATTGGTCATATCATTCTCTTAAAGAATTTATTATATATATATAAATATATATAAATATTTGATTGTACATTGTCATCAACAACAAAAACAACTTTACTTCTAATACTCTCAATAGATGAAATAACGAAGCAGAAAAATAATAATTTCAATCTACAGTCCCTAAATAGAAAGTGATATACCAGCCGGACTCTATATTTTGACCATAAATATGTGCTATCCTAAGAGCTTGCATAAAGATGAAATATTCACAAAGATAAACGTAACATAGAATATTAGTTAGCAGTTCCAATGTTCGCGAATCTAGATCAATTTAACGATCATAAAAATAAAACAGAACGAGCAGGTTGATGAGTCAGCTTCAAACGAGAATTAATTTACTTACTTTATTAGAGAGGTTTCGAAAAGTAGTGTACTTATTATAGTAGTTCTGGTACAATAGGTCTCTTCTGGCCGCAGTACCCGCTGTTGGGCAATTTTCACTTCTACTTTTTTAATAAAAATAAATATTATAGTAGTTAATTTAACGTGACATGGTACATGTACAGGTTTTGTACGAATAAGATGAAATAAAATAGTATCAGCTTCTCCGGGGCACTTCTTCGTGGAACGATATAAAGCTATGATGAGTCTGTCCAATCGCAATTTCTATAGATTTTGTTCGCTTTTAGCTGATGAAGAGACACCTACTGTGTCAGTGTTCAGTCTTATCTGGACATTAATATAAGTATGCGAGCACTAATTCACACTGCGATATCTCTAAAATTTTGGAGACCGTTTAATCAAAATATGTTTTCAAGTTAATTGAAGAGGTTTGACCTTCCTTTAACATATCATAGCTTTTTATGAAATAACTAATACTATATTAGTCTACTTAGACTCACATATTAAATATAAAATAAAAAATAATGCGATAAATGTTAATAGGATTTATATCAATTACTTGTATCTATTCAAAACATACATAAGACCTTTTTATTGAATTTTTTGAAACTTCGATATAGTTTTAAAATAATATGTTGAAGAGCTGAAATTATACTGTTCCTCATCATCATTTATTATTAGAACTAGATGGGAATTTTGTGTACATTTCACTGATAATTCGTATTGCTTCTACATCTAAGAAGAGACAATCTATCCAATGGAACCTCACTCCTCTCCTCTTGTTCATTGTTTTATCGCAATACATGTACTCTTATGGATGAAAACACATTTTTATAATGTGTGCGTGAAGTCTATGGTATTGTATGCATCTGAAACCTGGCTGGCGAACTCCACAATAGCGCGAACGCTACGGAGTTTTACGAAGAGATGCTTAAGAAATATTATGCGAATTTGGGTGCCAAGGATTATTTCAAACGATGATCTATTACAACTTGCAGGCCAAGAATACATAAACATAAAATATAGAAGGCAATATATACATTTTTCAAAAGCTATATTTATACATTTTTCAAGAAGTTTGAGGCTAATGATATTGTTGGACAAATTTGGATCAATTAGTGAATTGTAAAATAAATTGATTTTATTTGCATCAGTTAATTATCGTATCTTAAAAAATTTAGATGTGTAACACTCCACGCTCTATATATATATATATATATATATATAAAATAGAAAAAAAATAGTTTATTTGACTTAACAAAATTAACAATGGTCTACTTTCAGGCAAACCAAAAAAGAAATAATACACTGGTTAAATAATGAATAATTCCCGATTTCACGCGCATTAGACCCATATCAAAAGAACTACTTATTTTGTTTTATTTGAGATGTTTATTTTTGTTTCCTTTATAATTTGTGAAACAGAATAAGTAGTAACTATGATTAAATAACTTGCTGTTAGTCTCTACTTAGTTGACCATTACAGACATTAAACGTTCTTGATCACTCGATTAGTTGCTTGCTGTCTCCAGTTAGTAGTACCGAGAGTTCCCAAATCGTTGCTCACTGGTACGATTTGGGAACGTACTTCTACCGAAAATGCTACTAGTACTTCTGGTACTTCTACCGAAAATGCGGACGTCCGCTACCGCATTTTCCACCTGCGGGTACCTAATCGAATACCTTTCTAGCCGCAGCACTTTTTTCCATTCGCATGAAGCCAGCAAAGCCGCTGAATTTTTATGTGCGGTATAGCTCATATAGCAAAAGCCTTCGAAGAATTTTTCTCTCGAATGCTCCTAACGCCTTCTTATCACTATTGGACTTTACAAGCTTCTGTATCATACGGCTGGACAGGCAATTATAACTAATTATAAAAAAAAAATTGAGTCCCAAAACGTATAGTTAAACATCTTTAGTTGGCCTTATAATAAATTTTAGTATGCAAGCACTTTTCTAAAGTGACTAACTGAAAAAACTAATGTAATAACAATAAACTTATTAATAAATTTTTTTTAAAGTATTAAAATTAAACTTAAATATACCAAATATGAATATTATAACAATTTTAATATTAATTATGTTGAAGCTATTTGAGCCATAACACTTGCGAACTTTACTCATTCTTAACTCGAGGTATATTGCATTTAAATTTATGTTAAACATATCTTTTTAAGCTTAATTATAGTCATCGCGTAAATTTAATATTACTATGATATAAATAGATAGGTCCCTATATTGTATAAATAGTATAAATGTATAATATATGGATAGTTCTATTATACTATCTATATACCTTAAATCGGCAGAGAAGTTATTTTAATTATACTTTAATAAAATAAATTATTGTCAATTTGGAAAATTTGCAGTTTGGGTCAACTATGATCTGAAAAACGTTGTAATCAGAGTTTTTGAAGACCTTATGATGGCTACGATTGTAATAACGCTCCGTCTGTCCATCCATTTGTTGGTTCTGAGACTTAAAAATTTTATCTACAAGTTTGTTTCATTTCTTTAACTTTAATGCTATAATTTATATTGGTTCCGATTTTTCATAAATTTTTTCATATAGACAGATATATAAATATATACCACCAAACTTATTCATGTTTAAATTAAAAAAATTTTAAATTGAAGATAATTGTACATAAGTATCTTAAATACGTCTTGTAGATGTATGTATGTAACATATATACATTCTCTCCTATATTTTTGAAATATTTTTGTGTTCAGAAATTTTTATCTTTCTATATTTTCTGATTTACAATATAGTTTTTCTTGACTTTAAAACATTTTATTAAAAAATATTAATGGTGCACTCTAGTAAAGAGTTATACGGGCGTTCTTTGAAAAAAATCTCTCTACACCGCGCAATGTTACTAGTCTCCAAATTTCACATGGAAAATGCTGGTCCTGTCCTGTCAGTATCGTTTTAAGATACCTGCATAGAAAAATAGCTGT